TAGCTGGTGGCAGCTGCTAGTTCTAGCTACTAGCGTTAGCTGCTGAGCCCCTCCAACTGTGGCGTCGTCACCATCGGATGTGACAGGACGCAACACCATCAACCCAGTAAAACTTGGTGCAACGTTTAGAGAATTACAAAACACCAAAACCTCCAAGCTAGATTTTACAGGCCTTGGTTAGCATTTTAAATGGAAACGTTCATGACTAGAAAGCCTAACAGTTAGGAGAAAACCAAATAACTCCGAGGAAAAAATGTCTGCTAGCGTATCGTAGACTTCTGGAATACTGTCCTTTGAACAGAGTTCAAGAGTAGAGACTTTTGGTCACAAACAAACATCAGATTGCAAATGTGTACTTTCCCTCAGTTGTCATCTTCAGTTCCGTTTTACCATTTCTCTTTCCTCCAGGACAACTACTATCGTCCTGAGGGTGAGGACACCTGCTACCCCTGTGACTGTTTCCCCATTGGCTCCGAGTCTCGAACCTGCGACCCGGTCACCGGCCAGTGCCCCTGCAAGGGAGGCGTCATCGGCCGTCAGTGCAACCGCTGCGATAACCCCTTTGCTGAAGTGACACCCACTGGATGTGAAGGTAGGTGAATGGGTTTTTTTTATTGTTTTTTTAAGCTAATAGTAAATAGAAAACATCAGGCCCTGCTCTTCAAATCGAGCATGAGATGTTCGTGGTTCACAAAGCTGGCCTGGATGAATCACTGAAGTGTCCCGACGGAAACAAACGCTGCCACTCACATCCGCCGGTGCTGCAGTCGAGCTAACTTTACGTCTTTGTCACCGAGCAGTGAAGCAGAAGAGGCAAGTCTGGCCATTGGGCTGACTTGGCAGCAGCACTGCACACACACAATACAGTACAGATGAATGGACAACAAAAAACAAATGTCACAGTCTGACCTAACATGAAGCTTTTCAGAGCTGGTGGGACATGCTCAGACTTTTTAACACATGATGTGGTTCCATTTTTAAAAACGATCTCTTACTGAAACAAGATTCTGATCTAGTGATGATATTAAAGAACAAATAAAGCGTAATGTTTGTTTTCTTCTGCTCTGGCTGTCACAGAGATGTGTCCACCCTTGACTTGCCGTACGTCGATCTGTCATCTGTACTCGTAACTCGGCCTTGTGGCCTCGCAGAGAGGACTTTTGCTGTCAGGGTTACTGGAGCGTTCACTCGTAACAAACTGTTTCTTAGCTGACAGGAAGCAGAGATTCAAATCTGAGCATCCCACATTATACGCAGTACGGAAAGTGCTCAAACTCTCTTAAATTTTGTATTATAACCATAAACTCGAAAGTCAGCGTGCCCAACAAGCTTCCACCTTCCAGACATGTTTTGTTCTTAACTCAGATTTGATGCAACATGTAATCATGTATCAGAGCTGACCTGAAAGTCTGTCACCATGTCATGTTAAAAGAAAATGCCTTTGAAAAATATCTGTGGCTCAACATTGTAAATATTGGTCGTGCCTTAAATAACTCGTGCTTTCTTTGCAGTTGTGTATGAAGGCTGCCCAAAGGCGTTTGACGCTGGCATCTGGTGGCCAAAGACCAAATTCGGACGCCCTGCTGCCATGGGGTGCCCCAAAGGATCCAGTGGTGTGTAACTTAATAACCCCTTTTAAAAGTGTTCTCCAGGGACATTAACTCAGAATGCTACAGAAGTAAGATGGCAAACAACATAATAAGATATTAAGTATTTGTTATAGTGTTTTCTATAACAGTCTCAATAAGCCTTGACATTGCTAGCCGAGCTCTATGCCTTTAGAGGACAGTGCAAACGTTTGATAAAGACTGGAAACGTTGGAATATGCAGAGAAGGAACAATTGATGTTGATAAATGCCGCTCATCAAGCTGTAGCAATAACTCTGCCTCTGTGTAAGCGAAGCACAAAGACGTGAGAAATGACTCAAGACTTCATAGCCTTGACATAGGCTGTATAAATATAAATGAATCACAGCTACCTCAAAGTCGAGATTTCAATTTATCTCGTGTCAGTTAAACCGTGTGTGCAGCTGTTCTCTTGTTAGTCTTTTTAAGGCACGTAAGCACACCTACACGATATACAAAACACAGTAATAAGGATCTTTTATTAATCCGTTAATCCGGCAGAGCTTTCACGCCAGGGAGTCATGTACAGGTTTGCTCCTTAAGACTCCTGGAAAAACACCAGGTACTCTAGAGCTGCTTCACTGTTCGCTCTTTTGTTAGAGAGACTTAGTTATGTTGAATATGTTGTGTTTTGTTTTTTGCAACATTTGAAGAGACAGCTCCTGTATATTTCAACTCAATATAAATGAAAGTTGAGTTTTTTTATCTGATTTTTTTTTTTTTTTTTTCTTTTCAGGTACTGCAATTCGCCACTGCAGCGACGAGAAGGGCTGGTTGTCTCCTGAACTTTTCAACTGCACCACAGCAACTTTCTCCAATTTGAAGAAGATGGTGAGTGCCACTCTCCGACGAAACGAAAAGTTTGAAACTCAAGTTTTTGAATGTATTTCACACGCCTGCTTTTCCAGAACGAGGAGCTGCGCCGCAACAGCTCCCAGATGAACAGCGAGCAGTCCAAGACCATCGTGCGCTTGCTGCACAGCGCCACGAACAGGAAGTCGCACTTCTACGGCAACGACGTCAAGATGGCCTCCCAGCTGCTGAACCACGTGCTGAAGTACGAGAGCCAGCAGTCCGGCTTCGATCTGACCGCCATGAAGGACGCAGAGTTCAACGAGGTGCAAAAGACAAGAGTCTTCTTGTTTTGTTGTCGTCTATGTAGCCTTCTGTTAAATGTTTCTGGGAATTTATTCAAATGTAAAACCTGGAGCTAATTAAGATCTAGGAATGAGCCTCCGTATTAAATTTACCTGCCGCCAGAGGCTAATTTAATGTGTCTCGGTGTTGGGAAGAATTCATAAAACACACACTCTGGGTGAGCCCCTTCGTCCAAGCAAAACGCGGTGATTCTGGTGCTGCGTATGTGTCGAGTTATGGAGCTACACACACACACATCAACCTCACTTGAATGTCCATCTCTATCTTATTGTTTTTCTCTTTTGTTTTTGGTTTTGTTCAGAACTTGGTGCGAGCTGGCAGTGCCATTCTGGACCCTGGCACCAAAGACCACTGGGAGCAAATCCAGAGGACAGAAGGTGGCACCGCACACCTGCTTCGCAACTTTGAGGACTATGCCAACACATTGGCCCAAAACGTCAGGAAGACCTACCTCAAACCCTTCACCATTGTCACTGAAAACATGAGTGAGTGCTGGAACCGTGGTCAGATTGTACACATGTTCGCACACGTGTCATGTTTTCTTATCCTCGGCTTATTTTCCTACCCATTCTCTTTTTTTTCTGCTCCACAGTCCTTACTGTGGACTACTTGGATGTGTCAGACCCAGAGAAGGCGACGTTACCTCGCTTTAAGGACATCCAAGAGTCCTACCCCAGAGAACTCGGGTCTTCTGTCCACTTTCCACTTTTTAACTTGCGAGATCGTGTCCACAAAGGTAACTGCATCATCTAAATCAGAACAGCTCCTCCACTTTTATTTTAATTCTCATCTTTCAGCCCTCTTCTTTCGCACGCAGAGGAGCCAACTCCAGAACCTCCGACCCAGACCGATCATCCCGAGGAAGAGGAGCACACGGTGTCTGACAGGAAACGGCGCCACCTTGAACCGCCTGCACCTAAGCCGGTTGCCGTGGTCATCGTGTACAAGTCGCTGGGCCAGCTCCTCCCGGAAAGATACGATTCTGACAGGAGGATTCTGAGGTACAGTTTGTAAAACCTAGGAGAAAAAAGAACATGATTTCACCTGAGTCTGACTCAAGCTAAATGTTTGTGGGGGTTATATCTAAAACACAATGTCAAAGAAAATATTCATGGTAAACCAAAGTTCTCAGGTTATCTTCAGATAGAAAATAATTGCATCGATGAAATTCTAAACATCGAGTGGTGATTAGCATAGCTAGCAGTACTAAAACATCCTTCTCCTTCTGTATTAGTTAAGAATTAGCTCAACTCTGAAGTTACCAAAATTGTTGCCAACAATTTTCTAATACAAAGAGGTTAAAAAAAGCAACTTTCTGCAGTAAGTCTTTCTGTTGTTTACTGAAGTTACGACTAATTTTACAAACGTTTCCAAGATAGCTACAAATGACATACAATCCTGCTTTTTCACAACCATTACTGAAATCTCTTTATAACTCAGTGACAACATCCACACCAAAGAGTGTGGTGCTAGCTTGAGCTGGTGCTGCTTGGGTACGGTGCATTTACTGATAGGAAAGCCTGGAGTTTTGATCACCAGCGGATAACTCAATGCACACCAACTACAGCAGTAGTAGTAGTTGTCTAAAGAAGAAAAAAACTGCAAAAACACCAACTGTTTCAATAATACTTGTAACTATGCCATTCCTTTAAGGCTCCCCAACCGTCCAGTGATCAACACAGCAATCGTGAGCGCCACTGTCCACAGCGAGGGTCCACCCCTTCCTCCCGTCCTGGACCCTCCCATCACCTTGGAGTACACCCTACTGGAGACGGAGGAGCGGACAAAACCCGTCTGCGTTTTCTGGGACCACTCCTCCTCCTCGTGAGTTACACCCGCATATCACTGTCGAGTGGCTGAAATGTTCTGAAGAGCTTTCACATAAAATCTGTCCGTTGATACCTTTAGGAACGGAAACAAAGGCGGTTGGTCCTCCAGAGGCTGCGAAGTGCTCAACCGGAACAACAGCCACATCAGCTGCCAGTGCAACCACATGACCAGCTTCGCTGTGCTGATGGACATTTCGAAGAGAGAGGTAGAGTCACGAAGTTCCATCCCAACCACGCAGCTCGACACGTTTCCACCGTGTCTTTGAATTCTGACATCTTTGAATTCTCCTCCAACGCAGCACGGCGATGTCCTCCCGCTGAAGATTGTCACTTACGCCACGGTGTCCGTCTCTCTGTTCCTCCTCCTCCTCACCTTCGTCCTGTTGTGCCTCCTGCACCGGCTGCGCTCCAACCTGCACGCCATCCACAGGAACCTGGTGGCGACGCTCTTCTTCTGCGAGCTGGTCTTCCTACTCGGCATCAATCAGACGGACAACATGGTCAGCAAAGTTTCGTTTTACACATGCTACGGCCTTTGAAGGTTCTCAGATTCTGTTGCCTTATAACCACCGATGTCGATGGATTTTATTGGGATACGATGGGAAATTGTGCGTGTCTATCAGTGCAAATTATACTATTTAGGCAACCTCTGACGGTCATTCCACATATTGATTTAAGGGCATCATTTATTATCTATTCACACACACATTTATGCACAGCTGAGCATTGAGGAGGTGTCTTTCAAGTCAAGCACATACACACACACCAGTGGTGGGCATGCTGGTACCTGTCTGCAAAGGCCTTAGGGTGGTAGGTCCTGGCAAAGATTTCCCAAAAAATCCTTTTGGTTTTAACTGGATACATCTTTTGCATGTCTACAGTGCAGAAATACAAGTACTGAGTCATTCTGGTGTTAAATGTAAGCAGTTGTGGTCTTAGAAAATCTGGGTTTGCATCAAAGGACAGGCTTAAAGGAATAATGTGCATTGCTCTCCACACTTGTGTGGGAGAATCTAGGCAACTTCATTTGAGTACATTCATCATCATTCACTTTGAACTATCTTCTTAACTCCCTTCGTCAGGATTTCTGTAGTCTGTTGAATCATGTCTGTGTTGATTTGGCCAAATGTTTCAAATTGTTATCCTGCCTACAGATCCCATAATAAATCATTTTCAGTTTTCTGGTAGAGCTGCCAGATTTTCATTAAATCTTTTTGTATTTCAGAGTCACACAGTCCAACACGGTTCCTAGTCCCACATTGTGACATATCCTCCACAGTATTTAACATTGGGTATGAGGTGATTTCCCATGTAATTATTCTTCATTTTCGAGGCCAAGCTGGCGTGGTTGTTGTTGAAACCCACAATCAAAGCGTACATGCAAAACTTAGGGAATTTATGTCTGTGATTGTAGGACAAATGGGCCGTTTCTTGGGAATATTTTCCATATTTTTTGGAAAATATTGAAAATATATGGAAAATATGGAGGAATTTTTCTGCCTTAATCCAAGAGTACACATTTTCAGTCTGAAAGCAGGATTTCATCTCTTTTTGTTCTCAAAACTTTTAATGATTGTACTCAAAACTTATAGATAGATATCATGTCGTGACAATGTTGTCTTTGGTTGGGTGAACAAAATCCTGCCTAAGATCAGTAGGCATTAGCGATTGGTAGCACATTGCTGGCGGATGTTTAGCATACTACGGAGCAGAAGGCTGATGATGTTTCTCCCTACATCCAGCGGGTGACGCAGGTTGCTACAATCAATAGTAGCCACACAGGTACACCCACTAGAATGAAACAAACGCACCCAGTACACCACTTTCATTTTGTTGGTTGAGAGGTTGCTGGGCGACTGGGCCAAAAGGAGTTTTCAAAAGCGAGCAGAGAGTCCAAGCAGAGACTAAGTGTGAGTGCGAGGAGAAGTTTTGAGTACAAGCGTTACACGTTTTGAGAAGAAAGACATGGAGTCCTGCTTTCATAATGAAAACGTGTGCTCTTGGGTTATGGAAGAAAAATTCCTCCATAGGCAAACAACTGTATCCAGTGGTTGTTTGGTGACACCAAGTTTCCAAACAGTGAACTTAGATGGATTTTTATTTCCCTTACCATTCTGGTTATGGCTGCAAGATAAACTTGGGTCCTTGTCTACCTTTTTTATTTTCTCCATAATTACACTTGTAAACCTTTTAATTGTCTTGTCTTTCCCATTTTGAAAAGTGGCTTGGAGAAACCTTCAATAAACTCTGAAAAAGTAAAAAATAAGTTTTCTTTTAAGCCACATGCCACAGTGAAACAAACCTGTCTGCTTTGGCTAGTCTGGCTAAATCAGATGCCTAAAATCTGATCATTTGGTGTCACATTTAATCCTTTATCATTGGTTACCGTTTCAAATACGTCAGATATTTCCAATGGCATTGACAATTGCTTCAAAATGGAGAATATTTGCCATTTTGAGAAACATCATTCTGAATAGCAAAATATGCTCTTCTCATATGACGATTATTCTGACTGATTTTTTTATTCTTTGCCTAGCACTTTAAGTTCTAGAAGCCATAAAGCTTATCTACCTCTGCAGACTAATGCAGCAGGATCAACAATTACACATATAGTTAAAGCCACTGGATTAACTAAACACATAATTCTTTTCTAAAATTCCCCAAGTTTTTTGTTTGGTTTTGTCAGGATTTCGAGTTTACATGCTATCTCCACAATTTTGTAATTCAGCTAAAAACTTAGAAACTTTAATCTCTTCATTTTTCACATTTAGTGGAAGTCATGCATGTTGTGCATGAGCACACAGATCTGACCATTGGAATGCTGTCAGTTCGTGCCCGAGGCTGTGTGCTGCTAAATTTATAGATCTGTCAGAGGAACTTTTTTTCCTTTCTTTCTCTCTGATCTCTGCACACTCGTCTAGCTAAACTATATGGAAACCACTTGGATATTCACTGACGTACCGCATTCCTATAACGTGGCAACAGATGATTAAGTTGGGAGTAAAAATAAAAAAAGAAATGGAGAGACTACCTAGTTGCAGAGGAGCAAATCCAAATCATTTTAGGGATATTTGTAATGATCCTGGATCCAATTTGGTGAGATGTCAAAGGCTGGAATTAGGATTTGGAAGTTATTAAGATAGAATATTACAAAGTTGTTGCAAAGTTTGAAGAATCTCTTTACTAACTCTCCCTTTCTGTTGTTTTTTTCTTTTCTGCCTGACCCCTTCTCCTGCCAGTTTGTGTGTACGGTGATAGCCATCCTCCTCCACTATTTCTACATGTGCACGTTCGCCTGGATGTTTGTGGAGGGACTGCACATCTACCGCATGCTGACCGAGCTACGGAACATCAACCACGGCCACATGCGGTTCTACTACGCCATCGGCTGGGGCATACCGGCCATCATCACCGGTGAGAAACGAGGCCGATGGCTGCATTTAGAGGCAACGCCCTCAACAATTACTAGCTTCAATCTTGAAGATGTGTAAAAAGCCTTGTAATTATTTCTTTGCTTATTCCAGCAGCACATTAAATCTTTCCTCTAAAATCTTCCTTCTGTTAGTTAAAATCTTGCACACTTTATTTTAACTAATATAACCAAGCATAGAATAAAATAATGCTAGTACTAGCTACAGGTTTTGGCAGTTGAGTCATTGGTTTAGCTAATTAGCTGCTTAGCATATATTTAGTTGCCTTGTTGTTAGCATAGCGATATCTGCAATGCTACAATATGTGAGAACTCACTGTAAATCTAAATCTCAGAACAATTCACTGAGAGCAATACCGAAAGGAGAACTTCACAAACGTTTTGATTTTTGAAAAATGATTCATTTGTCTGCGTGTGTGTGTGTGTGTGTGTGTAGGTTTGGCAGTCGGCCTCGATCCTCAGGGTTATGGAAATCCAGATTTCTGCTGGCTCTCTGTGCACGACACGCTCATCTGGAGCTTCGCAGGACCCATCTTTGTGGTTGTTCTCGTACGTCCACATCATCTCGCAGTTTTATCATGATAATAACTCCTTTTATCAGACCTCTGGTAAAAGGAGCTATTTTATCACACGATGTATAAACGCACTGAAGTGAGTGCAATGACATCCAGCAGATTTTCCTGTTTTTAAGCTAAACCAAAAGAACCCCATCATCAGAGAAAGTTTTAATTTCTCTTCCCTTGTTAAGGTTATTGATGATGTCTCAAAATGCACCCAGAATATACATTCTAAATCTACAGTAAATTAAAAGAAAAATATTAACTGTTCTTTTTTTTTTTTCTTGCTGCTACTAAAGGTGAACATAGTGATCTTCATTTTAGCAGCGAAGGCTTCCTGTGGTCGCAGGCAGAAGGTTGTGGAGAAGTCAGGAGCTATGTAAGTGTCTCTGTCACATTCGTATACCCACATGTCATAACATTCTTGTAACTCTATTTACTGATGTCAACTCAGTCCTGCGCTGCGTATGGCCTTCCTCCTCCTGCTGCTCATCAGCGCCACCTGGCTGCTCGGTCTCATGGCGGTCAACAGCGACGTAATGACTTTCCACTACCTGTTTGCCATCTTCAGCTGCTTGCAGGTAAAAACCCCATGTGGCGCCTTAATCCAAAAATGAATTCATAAAGATATTATCTAAAATTCATCTTCATGATTAGCGACGGCCTTTTGTCATAGCAATATTTTTGCTTTTTCAACAGGGAGTCTTCATCTTCTTCTTCCATGTGATCTTCAACAAAGAGGCGAGGAAAAACCTCAAGAACGTCTTCACAGGTAAAAAGACAGTACAGGACGACTCCAGCACCACGAGGGCCTCCTTACTCACTGTAAGTGGATTTATTATCTTTAAGAAATCTTGTAAAATCAGCAAAAAAAAAAAAAAAAAAAAATCTTAAAAATTAATCTACTTTTATTGTTTTTTTTCTCAGCGGTCTCTGAACTGCAACACATATGTAGAAGACGGGCCTCTGTATCGCACAGCCATCGGCGAGTCCAACGTCTCCCTGGACAGTACGCTCAGGTCAGGCAAGAGCCGCAGCAGCAGCTACCTGGCTTACGCACTCAGGTACACGCCCACTGACTGCATGGCTGCTTTCACTAGAGTCCTGCACTGCTTTTTTTTTTTTGTCTCTATTCCAGTTTTTGACGAAACGTTCAATGTCTCACACTTACTAATGCACACTAAGTCCTTGGCCTTAGTTTGTCATTTATTCATGTTTATCTGCTTTATCCGCACTTCTATTTAGTCACATTTTCCTTACTATTGAATGTTTCTCTCTTTTTTTTTCTGTTTCTCTCACTGTTGTATGATGACACCTGTGTTGAATGACCATGCTGAAATTTGCTATTGCATGGCTTGTGGCTTATTTCATTTCCACACCCAAAGGACAGAATTTCCATTCTTAATAAAACATATTTGGCAAAAAATAAATAAACACGCACACACACACACACACACACACACACACACACACACACACGACTGCGTCCAGTTACTATTTTTGTAAATTATTGCCATTTGTGGTGCTGTCTTATCCCAAAAACTTAATCTTAACTTGTCGCAAATGTTAGCATTCTTTATTACTGTTTTTGTTAGAGTTTGACAGTTTTGTGAAACTTACTTTTAAAGTAATGGTGTAATTTTCCAAATGTAGATGCTGCTACATTTGCATGGACAGAGGTGTTGTATCTCACAATAATTAAAAACTAAAATCTTTATGTGGGTTTAGCATTAGTAGCATAGCCTTTTCTGATTCATGCTAGCTGTGTTGGTTTTATAATACAGCTAGCATGAATCGGCTGCTTTAATTTTCCATTCCCATTTGGAATGGGATGTGAAGCAGAGAGAGCAGAAATTGAAAAAGCAACGGAGAGAAGAAACGGACTGTACCTACGTAGGTGGGAATGTGATGTAGACATTTCCATTTCCTCCCTGGAGCTGTTTGCAAGTCCAGAAGCTTCTCTCAGATCAGCCCCTCAGACAGCTCAGAGTCTCCGGTAGCAGATTTTCCCTCCAGCAAATTTCTCAATCCTGGAGCAAACGGCTGCAGCTAGCTAGAACAAAAAGAAAATAATGACTTTCTTTGACTCGTCGGCTTGTAATTTACAATCAACAGGTGATGGAATCTAACCCTAATTTATGAGCCGAAAAAGCTCAAGCCGGTTGCTTAGCGTAAAAATAGCGCCTGTCGTGGTTTAGGAGTTACCCATAAATCCTCCGTCGGTGGCAGTATTTTATTTCTACAAATGTTTAAGGTGGCAGCATATTTACTTTCACCTGACCCGGGGACTCTTTAACGACTTCTTCATTTTAGCTCTGTCAAAGCAAACAACAGGGGCAGATGTTTTGTAACGAGAGACGTCTGATGTCTCAGCCCTTGAACGCTAGTTGACGACAACTACAAGTCGAGGCTCGAATTAACTTCCAATAACGCTGTACTTCCCCTCTCTCCGTCTCCTACAAATACTTGTGTACCTCTACTTTCCACCCTGCTGTTACCTCCTGCCTCGTCTGCCTTCCTTATCCATCTGGATCCTCATAGGGAAGAGTCGGGTCAGAAGCCCAGCTCCTCAGGAACAGCTAAAGGACACACAGATCTGGATGGACCTCTCTTCCACCGAAATGGCACCAAAGGAGACGGTAAGGGGGACTTTTTATTTTTTATTTTTTATGTTTTGGCACCTTTATCTCAGGATTTTAGTGAAAGAAGTTTGTCATATCCCTTCCTGCCTGGTTTCCCAGCAGACTCTGACTCAGACAGCGAGTTGTCTGTGGATGAGCACAGCTCCTCCTACGCCTCCTCTGACAGCGAAGACGACGATTTGGATGTCAAGCCTAAATGGAACAACGAGAGGCCCCTTCACAGCACTCCAAAAGGTACCCATAAGGCCGGTTCCACTGAAAGTTATCAAAATATCACATGGAACCAAGAAAAAATAAAAAAAATTTAAAACAGAAATGTGGAGAGACAAAGTGTGGTTGCTTAATGTTGGCAGTATTTGTAAACCACATCCATCAACAATGAACAAAATCATTAAATATATCTATTTGTTTGTAATAAATCTTAATGGATTGCATTTTTTGTTTTATATTACTGATGTGTGTATTAGCTTTATGAGGATATTCTAATGCAATACCAAACTTCCTAAAATAATGACCCAAGTCATTTTTGTCAAAAGTAACTACGAAAATGAATTTGCCTAATTGAAACACGTCAATTTTGAAAAAAATTCACATTGAGGCAAATTTTTCGGCACTAACGAAATTAGTGTGTTTCCAAAACTGCAATGGAAAACGTTTTTCACAGCCGGATGTTACTAATGGCGGAAAAGAAGAAGAAGATGACAGAAAGTCGTAGGAGGATCGTGAAATTATGTTTTTTTTGACAACAGCAGAACAGTTTTGCGCACATTTCCAGTGGAAACGCAGCTAGGGAGGTTTGAACGCCACAGAAAGCAGCTGAAACACATTTTATGACTTTCAAAAAAGATGCGAAATTTACTTTTCTGAATAATAATCTTTCCTTATAAGTTTTGTCCGCACATAAATGATTGACATCAAACTACAGCTTCAAAAATTATCAAAATCTCAGTAGAGAGAAAACATGCTAACATAGCATTTTAGCTAACAGATTTTTTTTTTTGCTTGTTAAACTTAAGCTTTTTAAGAGTTACTTTAACTTGGCTTATTTTCTGCTCATCTCTTTTCGTTTTTCTTAGGTGACTCTGTGTCCAACCACGTGAGACCTTACTGGCCAACAGATGGCACCACAGCCAGTGACAGCGAGGACCTGAGTGTGACAGACCGGCTCAGGGTGGAGACCAAGGTCAACGTGGAAATGCATCCGGAAAATAAACTCAACCACGTCGGTGAAAGAGAGAGGGAAGCTCCACCGGAGAAAGACAAGCCGGCGCCCGGAAACGCCAAAGACGCGCCGCCTCCCAGCCAACCCATCAGCAACAGCAACAGCAACCACCAGCCAGAGCAGAGGAAAGGTAAGGGAAGGAACTGACCTGTGAAAACTGTAGACGGTTTGGCCTGAAGCCCCTCTAACTCCATCGCTCCTCCTGGTCAGGCATCTTAAAGAACAAAATCAGCTACCCTCCTCCGCTGACGGACAAGAATATGAAGAATCGTCTAAGGGAGAAGCTGAGCGACTACAACTCCCTGACCATCACCTCTCCTCCGCCCATCAACAACAACCACACATCCGCCCCGCCTCCGTCGTCCGTCAACATCATAACCCCTACGTCCAGGCCGTCGTCGCAGGCCTCTACCGACGGAGGGGGTCGCCTCGGCAACCACGACCACGGCTCTCTGGTGAAGCCGCCTGTCGCGCCCCGTCCTCAGATTACCGTCGCGCCGCCACCGGGGGGCATTTACCGGGAGACCAACGGCGGAGTGGCAATGCACTTAAAGTCGGGGACGGTGAACGGAGGAAACGACTCCGACTCAGAGTAAGACAAAATGTCGCGCATGTAGCAACATGGTTGGACATTGGCCTCTTTGCACGAGTTACAAGGCATAAGTAGTAGTAGTAATTATGAAGTTGACTCATTCATTAAACTTAGGGAATGAATGATGCTGTAAAAGGCTTCTAATGGAAGGGCTTGCCATTTGTCTTAGTGTAATTTGCCTTTTGTTAAATAAGAGAGAAAATGTTAATTGCAGCACCTTGTTTACATAACCCTGACATTTTCACGTGATGCTATTACAACCACAAGCTTTATTTTCTTGGGATTTTATGAGATGGACCAACCGAAGGTTTGCGCATAATCATGATCAGAAAAGTAGTGGACACAGCAAACAAGAGTGCATTCACAGTAGCCGTGTTTAGTCCACTTTAATTGAACTGTAACTCAATTGCCTAGAAAGTTCAGTGCGACTGGGGATTTGGACAAAAAAAGCGAACTCTGGTCCGCCTAAAAACCAAGGTATTGGTTCAGCTGAAGTGAACTCGTCCGCTTGGTGTGGTTTGAATTCTATATGAATGCAAGTGGACCGGAGACCGCTCCATAACCAAGAAGCAGACGACAGTGCAGGGCATTCTGGGTAAAGACAACCAAAATAAATGCGCAAGTAATGGCTCGTGGTCTTTTACAAAAGACAAATCCTACATCCGCTAAAATCCGACGCCACTCCATATTTGTTCACTTTTTGTGAAGAAGGAAGTTGCACTCATGACTTCTTCTGAGGTTTTCATGTTGTTTCCTTCAGTGTTTCTTGGTGCAGCGCCACCACAGGCGAGCGGGTGAACAGGTTTTTGATAGGGATTGAATGTTTTGACACAGAGCGGTGTGAAAGCGACCTGCACCTGCTGAAAATGTAACAAATGTTGCAACTTTGTCCCACAATCAAACCGAGTCTACCAGTCTGTCGCATGAAATCCCAGAAAAAAAAACGTCGAAACTTGTGGTTGTAATCTAACAAAATGGCACCGTTTAGCATGAAATGACACACCCATCCTCCTCAGCCGCTGCAACTCCTGCATCCCTGCATCCATTTTCACCTTGCATGTTCTCCTCTCCTCTCTCCCTGCACACTTCCTCCCTGCATCCCTTCCCTCTTCCCCCACCAACCTTTTCCCTCCTTCACCAGTGGCAGTAACGAGACTTCAATCTGACCCGTCAGGCAATTCCAGACCAGTCCGCCCTTGTAAGAGGAGGAGCCAGTCAGTGGGGAAGAGAAGAAGAAATGAAAGTGAGATGAACACGGAGGGGGTAGAACTTTGGTAAAGGTCCACACACCCCCTGTCATGTTTTAGCGAGCAGTATTAACGGCAGACTTTAGGACTACCTGGGACGGCAGAGACAAGGATGCGAGAACGAATAAAGGGAATGCTTCACCGGAGAACCGTGTGCCAAAAACGACTAAAACGAAGGCCTTACAACGAGCTGAAGACTCTCCAGGACAGATTCTAATATCTGCCTGAGAACATTCGATAAGTGATCTCAAGCTGGTACATGTGTAGTCCAAAAAAGGATTTCAAAGACTACAGCCTCTTCGAGCGTCACAAGCAGACCGCTAAGTCCAACGGCGGAGGACGTGCGCACCGAGAACTGTTTTCATTTCAGCTCGGAGGTTTCTACAGAAACCTCTCGGTGCGGTGTATTTAGAGTGTAATTACTGTGTAGATATTGTTTTTTAAGTGAAGAAGAATAAATAATGTATTTTCTATTTCAGCTGAAGCAGAGAACAAGTTTGTAAACTAAAAAAGAAAAAAGAATGCCTTGAAAAATATTGGGAAGACTGTTTGATTGTGCCTTTATGTAGGACAGAGGCCTTATTCACTCACACCTTATAGGCTTTCATGGTGTAGTAAGATGTAGCCTGGCTGAGAAAGCAGTGGAGAAATATTATTATTATTATTATTATTTACAACGAAGCAGAAACCTGCCATCTGTTGGGACCTTCCCCGTTTGATCGATCAACGACACAAGCTCCTCGTTACCAAAGTTACGAGCCACAGTAACAAAACATCGTTAAGGATCCCGTCGCTTCAGGTTTTTCTCCATTTCATTCCAAAAAGAAATCAAATCTTTTATACGCATCATCTTAAAAAAAAAAAAAAAAAAAAAAAAAAAAAAAAGTTTTCCCAGAACTAGTGGCCTTTATTTACATCAGATTCAACCATCCCAGCAAGGACTAGTAGATATCTGGCGGCTTGCTCTACCTCCACACCACGCACCGCCTCATATTCATCAACTTTTAATCAATTGATATCCTTTTTTTTGTTTGTTTGTTTTTTTTCAAAATAAAGCGACCTAAATCTCAACGTATTTCGCAGCTAAACACGGGGCGACGCGTCCAGCCAGTTTACCACTCGCCTTTTTGCAGCTCACACTCCCAATGTTTTACACTGCTGTTGTCCTTTTGCTTTTGTATGATCCGAAACACTGGAGATTGTTTTGTAAAATGATGTATATTTATTTTTTCATGTTTTTAAACACTGGAGGAAAAAAGAAACAACAACAGATGATTGTGATTGTAAAATTAAAAACGTCCTTACCAATTTTTAACTTCCTGCTTTCGTCCGTCGGGTGGAATGAAACATGGCCGCTGTGAAGAGTAAAAGAGGTAAACATGAGCAAATTTTGGCGAGGAAGACCTTGACTTCAGATTTTGCTTCAGATTTATTTATGTCTACTAAACAAGCAATATTTTTCTTCTATGGTTTAGTTCAGCTCTGTAGTCACACAGTCAAGCATTTTACAGTTTCCGTGAAAAAGGTCTCGTCAAAGTTGGCTACATAAACTCTTGGACGGCTTACCCGTGGGTACTGCTTGCTAAATAATTGTGAGAGCAAGCTGAGTGAAACGTTAGACGGCAGAATCAAATTTCACCAGTCGGTTAGGAGGTTAGTTGTTATGCCAGCTGTAGTCGGTCCTCATTTGTAGTGTCAAACACAGTAAGACGTGTTTGACACTACTCGATTACCTGTAACGGCCTTAAAACTTGTTGGCAGTTTGCGCATAGTTAGGTAAGGAGGATGACATTTTGTGATAATGTAATGTATCGACTTCCATAAACTTCCTTGACACCTGAGACACTGTATGAACGATGTTGCTGCTCTCAGAGGGCTATCAAACCGACCCTGTTGTTTTTCTTTATCTCTGTCCTATCACGGTCAAACAAGCTAAATTATTTACGTGCGCCAGAGCTACTGATATCAACCTGGAGTGTGGTCCAGAGCACGACCGCACGAGGACGGTGGTTTACTGGTGCAATGCTGCCATCTGGTGGTAGAAAAATGTCTACTCACAACTACAATGCCGAAAGCGCTGTTTCGGAATCTGTTGTAGTATTTCGTTTTTTTTTTTTTTCTTCTTCTTCTTTTGCCCTTATGGGGTTTATTTGACAATTGCCGTACATAAAAACAAAACATATAAAGACATAAATTCTTCAATGCAATGGTGGCTAATGCATGGATGGCCCCTTGGGTTAATTCTTCCTTCTGCCACTGCTAAAACAGTATAACTGCAGTGTAGTCACGTTTAACACTAGAGTATCTAACTTTTATTTAAAACCTGTTCTTTTATACATTTATATATTTTGTTAAATCTATCACTATGTCGTGACTGTATAGTATGAGACAGATACTCTGTGAAATGCTCTCGGTACTAACTACAGAAGTACACCAATTGGTCAGAAACAATCAGTTATAACCATTTTTTAAAAATCTCATTCTCCACTGACTCATTCTTCCACCTTGTGCTTGTGTTAACCTCCTTTCCAATGTCACCCTGGGCAACTGCCTGTATGGACCATAGCAAATACTGTTGCTGTTTAAAAGATGTGCTTCAGCAAATTTCATCAACCATCATGCAAACTTTTACCTTCCTTATCTAAATCTGGAAAGTGAGTAGTGAAGAAAACTTACAAAATAATGACTATGAAGTCCGTCTCTTGAGTGTTGGGCTATGAAACTGTGTTGGCACCCGTGCGGAACTTGCTCATTATTCGCAGTAGGTGGGCGTTCCAGAGGTGGACAACAGCCTTGTGGCAAGTACCAACTTCCATCTCAGAAAGGCATCAAGGATATTCTTGATGCCTTTAGAAGTTAATCACCCTTCTGTTTAATATGAGAAATCATTGGTTTGGATTCTGGCCTATTTTGGTGGTGGTGTCACAAGGTAACACTAATTCAAAAATTGTTACAGTTTTTGAATTAGGTGCTAAGAAAATCCTGTCAAGTTACTGTTCAAGAAAGGTCACTAATGCCAGAAAGATTAAAACACAACAATGAGTTGTTATTAAGTGAAATTTGCCCATTTGTTTTCCATCCAGTATGTTGGAGGTATTTGCCAGAAGTTTTGAATCCGGGGGAATATTCACAGAAATAGAGTGATTTTTAGATGATACTATCTGCGAGGTTTTTAATTGATTTTCAATATACCATATACCCATAAAAGAGAAGTCCAAAAATGTTAAAGCCACTTACCCAATTGTGCCAAATCTTTAGGCCATGACAGTAGATTGTTCATCTAACGAAAGTACAACACCTATTCAAGATAGGGTTAGAAAAACCCATTACATTTTGTAGAACCTAACAAAAGGTTGAGGTAGTTCCTTTGATTATTTAAATCCAAATAGACAATGATCTGTAGAAATGTGATTTTGGTCTCCTGTTCACGCCTGTAGTTTAGGCGTGAACTGTTTCTCTTTCTATCAAACATCCAGTATCTATCATCTAGTCTTGTCAACGTGCAAATAAGCAGTTTTCCATGCCAGGTAGGATTCTGGTGAGAAACCCCTCACTTTTATGGACTTTCTTGTTCATTTTCAAACTTCAAAACTGAGAACTTTTCAGCTTCTCAGCAAATGGAACCAAGTGAAACAATGGTAGATAGCTAATAGTTAAGAAAGGTTTCCTTTTTTGGATAGAAATCTTATGGAATAACTAAAAAAATCTAAAGAAGTCCTAGCGTGATGTTTTCGCTTACCCTTTTTATTAAAAGGGCAACAGCAAATCTTGATTATATTCATCAATTGACATAAAGGTTTTAATTAAACCATTTCTACCTTGTTACAAGCCAAGATGGACTTCTTCCAGACATTTTTTAGGAGTGTCTCGCAGATCTGCAATCCAGGAATGGTTGTACATCAACAAGCTGGCAAGACGAGACGTGACTAATTTGGGTTCATCAAGTCAAAGTAGATGTAGTAGTATGGTAAACCCAAATTTTGTTTCATCTTCAGCCAGTTGGGTGTCTCCTCTGACCTTTAAATTACCACTTCCCAATTCTGTCTGCTCAGACTTGTGCAACATGTGCATTGTTGCCGGGAAAGTAAGCAGAAGTTACTTTCAAATAATATCAAAGCTCCAAAACCGGCAAAAAAAAAAAAAAAAAAAAGAAATCCACCCCTACAGTGTTGGTTTCGGCAACATATCGTGGATTTCTCGTCTTGTTTTTTATACTTTTTAATCAAAAGCACATTTCAACATGTTAGCATTTTATCAACCATCTTATCAACGTGGGATTTTCGTCAGCAGCCTCGTCATCCATCCGCATTTTCCTCTTCCTCCCAACTGTTCTATAATTGACTCTGGAGGCTCTGGCAGTTGCGTAAGACTTGCGTGGTTGTGCAACCTGCCAGAAAATGTGCTGGTTTTGGATTAAGAGGTTTATTATAGAGTTTGTAAATGAGCACAGAGGGAGGATTTGGGAAAACCTCAGCAGCAGTAGTAGTTTCTTTCTCTGTGTGTGTTTGAATGAATAGAGGAAATCAAATCTAGATGCATTAGTCCCCACGTTTGGTGCCCAATCCCGTTTGGTGTATTTACTGATCATGGCTAGGATTGTAGCTGCTAATGATCTCCTGAAAAGCACAAAATCAGGTGACATACAGTCGGATTTAGTCAGATTTTAAAAAAGTAACATGTTCAAACAAAGATGGTTTGGGTGATTGTTTGGGGTTTTAACAAGGGCACATAACAAGAATTCATAACTGATTCCATAGGGAGTCAAATACTTAAGAGATGTCGGATGGGTTATCTACAAGAAATAAATCCAAGATAATCTCAACTGAGTGTTGGGAATTATCTTAGTGTTTACTGTCAAGATCATCTAATCTGACCTTCGACATTCATTTCCAAACAAACAGAACAGATTGTTTTAGTAAAGTGAAATAAATATTTGGAAAATAGTTAAACAAATACTTCAAGTTTTGGCCAGATGTTCTTTAAAACATTGCTGGTATAAGCAAACCTCTCTTCCAGTCCCATCCCGGCATTTTAAGTCAAGGTCAGATTTGGACTTTGATTGGGCCTTTACAACACGTAGACTCTTTTCTTGTTTAGCCATTTTGTTATACATTTGCTGCTTTATTTGGGAACATCAACACTGGTTGAACATTTGACTGCTGAACACCTTGGTGTATGCATGGGTTTATGTTCAATTCAATGACTGGAAGGTGTCTACGTTCTATGGCTACAAAAAAGACAAACTTTGGTTTAGTTTGGTTTAAGACCACAGGAACATGGAACCATGCAAACAATGCCAAAAGATACAAAGGAAAGAGAGAAGGTGGAAGTTCAAGCCATTTCTTTCAGCAGTCATAATGGGCAAAGGATGACATCCCCTACTCCAACATCTCTCTCTCTCCATATGACCATACAGTCATATGGAGATTTAAAGAGAAGCAGAAAAAGCAAATGAGGTGTATTAGCAATGTTTGCCAACAACTGATGGTATCATCCAACACATGCTACTGTGAAATATCATTTCTGTTGCCCACATATTGGCAAGTAGTAGGCTGTCATACAGCAACAGTGTCTTCAGTCAGAGCCTGAATTCATTTCTATACTATTCCAGATCCTTCCTGTCCACAGCATCACCACTAACGGCGACTCTTTGAAGGTATGTGGAGGATATGGTTACGAGAACATTTGATTTCCCTTTGGGATAGATAAAGTGTTTTTTAATTTTAATTGAAACGAAGTGGAAAGTAATTGCACGGCACTGTGGAGTATGAACAAACAACTCTTCTTCGGTCATATTGTCCAAAAGACATTTTTTTTGAAGTCTTATGTTTTATTCAAGCCAACTGAACAAACATAAGCCAACTGTGAGCATAAGCAATGCCACTAAATTCCTTTTAGAACGAGCATGCTGTTTCTTGGCAATCCTTTCCAAACAAGATATTCTTTTCCAATATCTTTCTGACAGTACTGAAAGAAATGTTGATATTCAGTATTTTCCACTTGGGTGAATAATATCTCCCACTGCAAAATATGGACTTTAACTTAATTGGAAATTATCATATAATCCTTCGAAAGTAGACGGATGGCAAAAAAAAGAGACATTTCTGATGTCTGTCCTCTTTGGCTCTGTGTTAATACACACATGTATGTTATAAACAACCAAACTCCAGTGACATGTATTGTCTCCTTTACAGGCTTAACTGCTTTTAGATCCTGAAAAAGACTAGATAACTCAAAATCCCAAAACATAAAAAAAAACAAAAAAAAACATCTAAAATACGATTCGCTTTCTTGTTACCACCCGCCTTCAGGATCAGAGCAAACAAAATCCTCTATCACTTTGCCTCTAAAATTTGTCTATGCACAAATGCGGAGCTAATCTCAATGCGCACTATCTCTCCAGCTGTCAGCGGACCAAACATACACACATGGAGCCATCTGTTTTACTGGTTTAAATGAAAAAGTTAGCCGTGCTGAACATGAATGTTTGTTCTTTATGTGATGCGTAGACTAGCTTTCAGTATGTTTAAAGTTTTAGAGGAGTTGCTGCAGGAGAACTGGGCGAAAACTCTAGATAGCACAGGACTCGGGTGATCCTTACTGAGCTCATTGATAGTCTTACAGCAGACACAGAAAGCACTTGTGCTTACCTTCCCCTAATCTGTAGTCTCATCTCAGGGGTCAGGGGTCAGTTGACTACTGTTTCTCCTCCTCCGACTCGTCCTTCTGTCAAAGCACAGTGTCATGCTTGCTCGGTTGGCCTCAAAAACAGGCTGATTTATGCTTTTTCTAGGAACAACGGAGTAATTACATCAGCGGTAAGACATCTACCTTGGATTCTGCTGCATGAAGAACACACGGAAGATCACACAACGTGGCGTAACCAGCACGCAAAGGTTAGTATAGCAAAGAACACTGGCGGAAAAGGGAATTTGGCTACATTTATAGCCTGGATGTTGGCAAGGTTTGAATTTGTTTGTATAAAATAAGTTGAATGAAAGTGAGAATAAGAAGTTATGTAAAAGCACTGCTATTAGATTACTTTCAGTAGACATAATTAATCTGGGGCAATTTGGTTTGAGGTTTTAAGAGAATAACTGGCGGTTTATGTTGTACAGTCTTGAAAAGGGCATTTGAATTTTATACCAACTCGAAATTATATTATTGAAAAGGCATTCCACTTTATTGTAATTTCCTAGCATACAACTTTAAACCTGTATATTTTGTAGGTGTAGTATATATGCCGGATTAGTATTCATGTCGGTAAGAGGGACTACAGATAAAAACAAGGCTACTTGCGCTCAAGTAAATTTACATTTAATCCATTTGTTTGGCCCAATCTAAGGTGGTTCTAATGCCAAATTATTAAAAATACGGTTCTTTATGTATTTAATGCTGTAAATACGTAAATATGGATTCCCGAAGACTAAAAAGGGACCTGCCACCAACAACATATCCTGGGATAATCATCATAGTAATTACGTGCTTTTTTAAAATGACTTTCGAGTGTTTAATCGCAGTCCTCTGCTTAACCACCTGTTTTATGATTGAGGAAAATGACAATAGCGATCACAAGGTGGTGCTAAAGAGAGCTAACGCTGCTCACATCCTGTCGTCTCCGAAGCGCCCGTAAATAAGCTGCGGCCCCTTTAAGAAAACGGCACTGACGATATTTCCTCGGCCCAGCTCCCCGCTTGTTTCTGTGATATCAACCAGAAAGAGCAGGGCACGGCTTGTCTCAGTAAGCAGCGGGTCTCAACGGTGCTCCCCGCGCAGGAGAAGGGCGCAACTGGTATTTTTGAAAAAATTGAAGTATTTCTTCAGTTTTAATGACCAGCCTGTCCGTCTAGCCGCAACAAGCTGAGGAGGATACAGTCGTTTGGACGGTACTGAACGGAGAGCGCGGCGGACATTGCAGGGATGGAGGGACCTAGAAAGCAGTCGTCGTCGTGAGGCTGAGAGACAGACGCTAATTTGGAGCAGCAGCAGGTGTACGGAAGGATAAAAGCAGAACCGGAGGGAATCTCAGTGTTCATGAAACTTTGCTACGATTTACGTGCTGGGTAAGGAAATATATTTTACCTCTCTGCGACACTACAGCCAGTTTGCTTAAAAAAAAAAAAAAAAAAATATATATATATATATATATATATATATATT